TTCAATTTGGAAAAGGAGCCGCGCCTAGATTTATGATTTCTTAGATAACAGACATTACAGATTATAAGTCTGACAGAAATATGCCATCAGAGAAAGTAAGGAAGCAATTAGAGGTGCGGGGTGTGACGAAAGCTACAGACCCAGACAAGATTTCACCGTCGATACTAAACAAGTTAGCTGCAACACTGTGTGAACCCTTCTACAGTTTTCAACCCCTTACTAGAAATGGTGGAATTACCAGAAATGTGAAATATAACTAACGTGGTATCTATACACTACATAGGAGAGGTGTAAAACAGGAGCCACTGACCCACAGTCCGGTTTCAATAATAAATATTCCACTTAAAGTATCAGAGAGACTTAGTAGGTCACTCCTGGAGCACTTGGGTCACGAGTATTGTCCCAAACATTAAAGTAAACGCACCAAATGGATTTCCTTCTTGATTAATTGAATAGACTTGTAAGAAAAGATGTCAACAATTCTGCAAGAAACAGCGGGTAGTACACATACACGTACCTCAAGTTGAGTATCGTCAAGGTCGGGTCTTTTTCCCCAAGTTCCGTGCATGGAGGACCAACCCACTCGCTTGGCGTCACTCTGGCCGGGGGTCGAAGCCTGCTGGTCTTGGGAGGCGGCCAGTTGAACGACTGTGACCACCATCAGCGCCACCAGCGTCCAGGCTGCTCGCAGGTGCTGCATGCTTGCTCCTGACGGGGGAGACACAGGGCCAGGTTAGACGCAGCTCTACTACTTCTCTCACAAACCCACTCAAAAGCCACCTGGAACCCCACACATAGAAACCACCATGAGGCCACCTGGAACCCATCAGGAAGCCACCTGGTGTCCACCTGGAACCCACACACAGAAACCACCATGAGGCCACCTGGAACCCATCAGGAGGCCACCTGGTGTCCACCTGGAAGCAAAAGGAAGCCACCTGGAAGGTAAATTGTTTTCATGGAAGTAAATGTGGCTCCACACGTAAAAATTAAACTATGGCGGGAAGACACGTCAGGCAGGTGGACGCATATATCTGGTGGTCACATGTATCTGGTGCAGACATGTGGTAGGTGGACACTAATGACAAAGTTGGCCATTAAGGAAACAAATATTGTTGACTTTTAATTTTTATAGATAATGAATAGCTAACGTCAGTGTTTATACATGTGGCAATTTAATTATTGTACAAAGATTACACACACACACACACACACACACACACACACACACACACACACACACACACACACACACACACACACACACACACACACACACACACACATTCGCCCCTGTTCACCCAGCAGTTCTTAGGGATCAGACTCATTCCTTGTTAATGTTTTTGATAACCTCACAGCTCTGACTCATTCCTTGTCCCTCACAGCTCTGACTCATTCCTTGTTCCTCAGAGCTCTGACTCATTCCTTGTCCCTCACAGCTCTGACTCATTCCTTGTTCCTCACAGCTCCGACTCATTCCTTGTCCCTCACAGCTCTGACTCATTCCTTGTCTACCCACTGCTGACTCATCGCTAAGAGACGCCTGTTTTTCGGGAAGCTTTTGTGAGGAACCTTAATTAGCAGTAATCCAGCTTTGGGAGGCCTTGTGTTGTCGCTGTTTTTGGCCGGGATAAGAGAGAGAGAGAGAGAGAGAGAGAGAGAGAGAGAGAGAGAGAGAGAGAGAGAGAGAGAGAGAGAGAGAGAGAGAGAGAGAGAGAGGTGGAAGGGAGGGGTGAAGCAAGCCTCCTCTTTCTATCCTCATGAGAATGGGGATAGAAAGAGGAGAGAGAACAGGCAAACAAAACAGATATGCTAAAAAAATGGAAAACTGTGTAAAGAGGAAAGTGGCGGAAACCTTGGAGCCAATGTTCACTGACAATCACTTAATGGAACAAAGACTTCAGGCTTAAGGTCTGACCAGCCTTCTTCAGGCAACAGCGGCACACACTCCCAGGATGTCTTGTGTCGTATTGACTTCTTGAAGGATATATAGAACTTCTTGAAGGATATACAGGACCTCTTCAAGGAAAAATAAAGCCTTTTGAAAGATTTACAGGACCTTTTGAAGGGTATATATATAGGACTTCTTAAAGGATATACAGGCCCTCTTGAATGATATCCAAGACCTCTGGAAATACCTACAGGTCCTCTTAATTGATATACAGCACCTCTTGAAGGATAAACTAACGTCTTTAAGGGTTTATGTAGGATCGCTTTAAGGATATACAGTACCTCTTGAAGGATATACAGTAATGAAGGATATATAGATCCACTTAACTGTTTTGTGCCACAGACGATGCCTTATAGTCTTCCGGGCACAGGGCCTTCTTTCGACCCCTATTTACTTAGAGCCCAAAGATTGTGTCAAATTGTATAACAATTACATGAAGCGCGCGCACATATCCTCACCAGTATACTAGTGGCTGAGGGAGGCGGTCCTGTCGCCCTGAGTATACACAAGTATGTGCAAGAACACATTTGTCATTAATGACAAACATACACACGACACAACAACAGTGTCAGCCACATGGACCACCTACAACACCCAAATATTACAAACAAAACACTCAAATAATTACATATGTTAAACATGTTATGAAGAGGGGTTAATAAGGTAATTTTCTGCAATGAATGTTATAAATTATGTTAATAAGAGTTACTGAATCATGGAACACCACGTGGGACTCATCATGGGTGAGTACATGGGACTCATCTTGGGTCACCAGCTGGGACACATCATGGGTCATCAGCTGGGACTCATCATGGGTCACCAGCTGAGACTCATCATGGGTGAGTACATGGGACTCATCCTGGGTCATCAGCTAGGACTCATCATGAGTCACCACGAGGGACTCATCATGGGTCACCACGAGGGACTCCTGAAAAAAATACACAAATTAATATCTTAATAAAATATATTAAAACTTACATTTTTGTCGCCAATGCAATGTGAGTATCAACTTGCACTTCCCGGGTTGTTCTTGTATAGTCCAGCTTATATTTCTACTCTTTATTCATCCATAAATTTAATAATAATAATGATAATAATAATAAGTTTTGTCAGGAACAGAAAGTATTATATATATATATATATATATATATATATATATATATATATATATATATATATATATATATATATATATATATATATATATATATATATATATATATAATGTATCAAGGTCCCCCAAGATTAAAGTACTGACCGTCTCAAGTTGGCACTCCATAACAGTTGCATAACTCCCGGGTCCGTATTAACTGCTTAGCGAACTGCATCAGGTGAATGGAAACGTGCCCAACCATTTCTATCGCGGCCCAAGAATCAAACCTGGGATCCCTGATTGTGAGTCGAGAGCGAAGCCTACTGTACTACGAGACCCCCTCTCCTCGTCTAAATATAAAGGCAAGTGAGCAGAGGAATAAATGCGAGAGTGATAGTTATAACGAGTGACTCGTTAATATACAGTACAACGCTAACTGCGGTATTACGCTCCGAATAATAATAAATGATGACGTCAACAACCTCCACCAAACTATTAGTGATGACGTCAACAACCTCCACCAAACTATTAGTGATGACGTCAACAACCTCCACCAAACTATTAGTGATGACGTCAACAACCTCCACCAAACAATAAATGACGTCAACAACCTCCACCAAACTATTAGTGATGACGTCAACAACCTCCACCAAACTATTAGTGATGACGTCAACAATCTCCACCAAACTATTAGTGATGACGTCAACAACCTCCACCAAACAATAAATGACGTCAACAACCTCCACCAAACAATAAATGACGTCAACAACCTCCACCAAACAATAAATGACGTCAACAACCTCCACCAAACAATAAATGACGTCAACAACCTCCACCAAACAATAAATGACGTCAACAATCTCCACCAAACAATAAATGACGTCAACAACCTCCACCAAACAACAAACGATGACATCAAGAAGCTCCAACAAACACTCATTTTCAGCTCAAAGAAGACTCACCAACGAAGTTGTTAGAACGTCAACAAACTCCAAAATAAGTTCTTCCCACTATCAACAGCCTTCACCAATAGACTGATTACTGTATAAACACACTGATGTATGAAGTTATAATAATATATACAAAGTAGAGCAAACAGTTTATTACCATGCTAACTCTCTCCAGTAAACTGTTACTTGCGCCGATTAAATTATAACCAAATTACTTACTTTTCTGGTGGTTAACTGAGAAAAAATGCATTGGCAATTTACACTTTTCTTAAATTATCTTCACTTGGACACACTGGCTTATGAGGTAAGGAGGGAGGGGGAGAGAGAGAGAGAGAGAGAGAGAGAGAGAGAGAGAGAGAGAGAGAGAGAGAGAGAGAGAGAGAGAGAGAGAGAGACAGAGAGACAGAGGGGAGGGGAAGGAGAGTGAGACAGAGAAGAGGGGAAAAAAAGAGGAGAGGGGGTGGAGAGGAGGAGAGAGGGTGGGATCGAGGAAGGGTAGTGAAAGAGAAGGGAAAGAGGGATTTCAGGGAGATAGGAGAAGGAGAGAGGTAGAAAAGGGAGGAGAGGAGAAGAGGAGATAGGGGAGAATGAAGAAAGAGGGATAGCTGAGGGCGGAAATGGGTTGAGAGTCCGAGGAGAGGAGGAGGCAGAGACCCGGGCACTGCCGGATACCGCACCTAGTATTAACATATGAAGGTACCTCCTTCGTCAGGATCAGGACCACGAGGGAGACAACACACACAGTAAGAGAAGGAGAAGGGATAGTCGGGGATAGAAGAAGGAATGGAAACACAACTCGCAACCTTCCTTATTTTACCTGAAAATCTCCCCATCACCGCCCATCACCGCCCATCACCGCCCATCACCGCCCATCACCGCCCATCACCACCCATCACCACCCATCACCACCCATCACCACCCATCACCACCTATCATCACCCATCACCACCCATCACCACCCATCACCACCCCAACACTCATCTCTCCCACCACCACCCATCATCTGTGCCCTAAGTATCAGCTAGAGTCAGTGTAGAAGGGTCTTCAAGGTTGTGATCCGTCTTTCTATTATTGCCGGAGGTTGTCAAAGAGATCACAGGTAAATTGATGGTGGCGATTGTAGTGTTGATGGAGGTAATAGTGATGCAGGTGATGGTGTTGATGGGGCAGGTGTTGTGCTGTTGATCTGATTGATTATTGCCGCGGGAGGAGGTAACAATCCGGTTGGCGGTGATGGTGATAACAACACCGGTGGGCGGTGATGGTGACTCAGTGGTGGGGTCCCTGGTCAGGCAGGACAGTGAGTGTGGGGGTACACTGACCCCTCATCGTCACCAGGGGGGGGGCCAGGGGCGGAGGGGGTCGTGAGGGGCTAAAGATGAGGGGGGGGGAGGATAGACAGAGTCTCTGGGACGATGGGTGCCCTTGAGGGTGGTCACTGCCAACACAGTCCTCACCAAACTACAGTGACGGCTCAATTACAGAAGAAGATGGACGAGGCGCTGCCCAACGTGTCATTTTCTTTTTGGTGCCTAGACGGAGAAGACGAAGGGAGCGGAGGTGGCGTAGAGGAAGGAGAGGTGAGAGTAGGAGAGGGAGGTAGAGACAGAGCGGAAGAGAAGGATAACTAGAAAACGGAGAAAGGAAGAGAGAGAGAGAGAAGCGAAATAAGAACCGAAAGAGAGAGAGATGCAAGCAGGTTCCAATGCATATT